TAGTTCCCTACACACAGTAGGGGTGCTGAGGACTCTGGGGCAAAGTCTGACAGCCTTGGCCCTTATAGGGAGGCAGCATCTTCCTCCAGGAGGAGGAGGAGGAGGAGGAGGAAGCGCTGGGTAGCACCCTGGGAGCTCTAGGGACCCCTGGAGGAGCCCTGGGAACATCCCACCTCAGCCTACACATCAGGGAAGGGCCTCTGAATGCCTTCCCTGTCATCTGAGCCTCACAGTGAGGGGCATGCCGGTCAGGCAGCGCACGGCCCTGAGCAGGCTCACCTGGCATGCGCCTCATCCCCTGGGTATGACTTGGCTCTATGAACTGATGCACTCCAGCCTCCCTGACACTCCCTTAGTCAAGGAAGGAGCTGGGAGGGGCTGGGAGGAGAGGGAGCCCCTTTCCCTCTCTTGGGCTATGACCCCTTGGGGGGGGACCCCAAGAGGATCCAGCTGCCGGAGGTGGGTCCCATCCCCCTCTAACTGCAATCTCATTTATCATGCAAGTCTATGGTGAGGAAAAAAATAAATGAGACAGAAAACTCAGATTTGACTAGATGTGTGAGTCAGCAGCCCTGGGCCTCAAGCCCCTCACGAGTCTCAGGCAGCATGGTGAGGGCCTGGCATAGCTGTCTCTTGTCCGGAAGCAAGCTCTGGTCAAAATCAGCCAGACTGGCAGTGCTCAGATCCAAGCCAGTCACCCAGCCTGCCCGAGGGCACAGCTGTCTGGCTGCCTCTCTGTAAGATGGAAGGGTCACTCTGCCACTACCCAGGATGCTCTGGGAAGGGTCATTCTGCTATAGGCGCTATTTTAAAAACTATTTTAATGAGGTTTCTTAATGCCTCTACCTCCCTTCCAACCCCCCAACCCTAGGCAGGAGAGAAAGAAGGTTAGAAAGGACTTAGTTCCGGCTGGTTAGGGTCATCAGGTTCTTTGGGAAAATACCAATCTCAGTTGTCAGGATAGCTAGCAGTCCAGCAACAGCAAACGGCAAATGCAGCAGGACAATTGAGCAGCCTTCTTCCTCCTCTGTCTGCCTCCTAGAAACCCTTCCCTTCTCTGGGCTCTGGTATTTATACTCTCCCAGAGTCCTCAGAATTCTACTAGCTCCAGCTAGCATAGACAATGCCCCTCTCCTAGCCTTAGGAGGCTGTTATTAGCTGTGGATAAACTAAGGCAGTCCCATATCCCACACTTGGGACTGAAACAAAAACATACTCACATAACATAACTGAGTTTTTAAAGAAACCCAAACTTCCACTACACTCTGCCACTACCCAAGATGCTCTGGGAAGGTCACCCTGCCATTACCCAAGAAGCTTGAGGGCTGGCGTTTATGTGACACAAATCCAACATTAGCTGGCCAATGCAGTCCGTTCTAATTTTGGTCTTTTCCCTGCTCAGTGAGACTCTGCACATCTTCACACAACCAGAAATCCCAGTGGTGCACTGCTGGGGACTCCAGACAAGGGGCTGTCTGTAACCCTGTGAGCTGTACCATGGGACCATCGCACATGTTAAAGATGAAGACCGCCAGGGTGTTGAGCACGCTGCCTGGCATTGTGCACGTAGGAAGACAGACCAAGAGCTGGAACGGATCCCCCACGCCAAGCCGGGCAGGGTGTGCAGAAGTGAGGCTGAGGTGGCTTTGTGCACAGCATTCCGGTGACGGAGAAGCAAAGGCAAAGGAGAGCATGAGGCAGCCCACTGTGTGGCCCTTGGCAGGTCTCTCACCCTCTCTGGGCTTGGTTTCCCCATCAGTACCTGCTCGAGTTCCTTCCGCTATGCCACTGATCAGACATCTTTGGGTGACACTGGGGGCGACTGTGCTTGTGCGTTTGGGGAAGACACGTGGAATGCGTGGCCTCCTTCAACCTGGCACCAGGCTTCCCTCACAGGTGGAGAAGCTCACAGGCTTACTCCAGAGAGAACGTGTGTATCCTCCGGAGCATCTCCCTGTTGTTTGTCGGGTGGAGAAGCTCCTATCCATGGGAAGCCTTCATGGGCTCCAGAAGCCCAGGGACAGGACACCCAGTAGCGAGAATGACGAGCACAAAATGGAGTGTGGTGGGAGTGTGCGCTTCGGGCTCTTGTGGTGGATTAGAAGGGATTTAGCGCTGGAGGAGGCAGCCGTGTGGCACTCTATGGGGCTCCACACTTGGGGGCAAATTGAAGAGGGGCAAATTGAGGGAAATGTGCTGGTGGCCTGGGCACCAGAGTTCTGGCACCTGGGCATAGAATGGTGACTACGCACCAAACCAGCAGGTTACCAAAGCATGCGCAGGCGTGGAGAAGGTGAGAGCTAGTCAAATAGAATGGTTTGAGACAACACTCAGGTTTTATGTTCATCACAGTGAACTGATGTGACTGTCAACTTTGGGGGGGAGGGAGAGAGGGAAAGAGAGAGAGAGTGAGGGTACTGTATGTGTGACTCTCACTATGTAACCCGGCTGTCCTGGAACTTGCTATGTAGATCGGGCTGGCCTCAGAGAGAGCTGCCTGCCTCATCCTCCTGAGTTCTAGGGTTAAAGTTGAGCAGCACCAGGCTCACTGTTATACGAAATGTGTGAAGACGTTTCCCATGGCAATGGGTAAGCCAAGAGCCCAGCCTGGAGCCAGAGACCCCAGCTGCGGAAGTGGCTCTCTAGTCCTTGCTGGGAGACAGCCAAGGTGCCAAGAGAAGTCCATCCAGAATGAGCCAGGCAGCCAGGGATCGATCGACTTTGCTGGGCGAGACATGTGGAGTGGGGTGCCTGCCTGACCCAGAAGGGCAAAGCCAAAGGGCAGAGCAAGGCACGTGGAGGTTGGCAGGCCAGCGAGGGCCTGCACCAAAGGCTGGCCAGTGGCACCAGGGAGAGCAAGGCTTCAACACCAGTTCCCATCTGGTACAGCCTTGGTGTCTGGACCCTGCCTCCCGATGTGAGGGCCTGCTGTGCACTGGAGGCTGTGCAGGGTGCTGTCAGGGCCACAGTGGTGGCAGAGGCGCTGTCCTGTGCCTGGCAGAGGGTGGCAGGCTGTGTTGGTTCCAAGCAGAGTAACTAGTAGGGATGAAGCTGGGTAGCACTATGATTTTTCCACAGTGAATAGAGGAGTATCTGACTGGCAAGGCTGGTTTTGTTTTGTTTGAACCAGCACGAGGCACTGAGGTTTCTGGGAAATTACTGAGCATCATGGTGTACATGAGCACCACAGTGCCAAGGGCTTGCTGTGTATTCTCTCACTCGATCTTCACACAGATTCCCTAAAGGCAAGTCCGTTCACCTCAACTTCTTTCTTTCTTTTCTTTTTTCGAAACAGGGTTTCTCTGTATAGCCTGAGCTGTAGCCTCACTTTCTAAGAGAAAGTCTGCGAAGGTGACTTGGCCTGAGGTCACATGGCCAGGGGGTGGCAGAGCTGGAATGGAGCTTGCCCAGAGCTGAGCTCAGGCACCAGGTTGGCATGCCAGAAGTGACCTTGAGGCCCTCTGGTTTTATGGTCTCAGGCCTGAGCGTACACCGGAAATTACCCAGGAGCTTTGAAAAGCTGGCAAGATGGCTCCCTTGGTAAAGCCAGTGGCCCACTAGACGGCTCTGCTGGTAAAGGCGCTTACTGCCAAGGCTGATGACTTGAGTTCAAGCCACAGAGCCCACATGATGGAAGAGAACCGGCCCACACAAGTTGTCCTTTCACTCTCCACACACCCACCGTGGCACACCACAAATAAAGGTTAAAGAAAAGAAAAGCAGGTGAGGCTTCTAGCGCTGGGGTCTCACACAGAGCAGTGAGGGCAGGATGTCTGAGGAAGAGAGGACATGGCTCTCTTGGGTCTTTGGGAAGCTCTGGGGCGACTGAGAACAGCCAAGTGACGCCACTGTGTGAGCGGTCGCGGCTGCAAAGGCCTATCAGACGGGAGGCTGGGTATGGTGGCACTAGGTGCACAGGGTGGCCGTGCTGGCCAGGACACACGGGTGGCTGCTTCCTGAGGGCCAGGGCACCATCTCAACACCAGGAGCTGTACCCAGCCACAGGGAGCACACAGACCCTGTGGATCTCTGTCTCTGACACTCCTCTCCAGCTCAGAGCTGCCACGGATGGCTCACTCTCCCCACCCCAGACTTCACAGTGGTCCCATGCCTCTTTCCCTGCTGCTCATTCAAATAGTGTGGTGAAGAAAGCATCTGGGCCCGGACCGAGTACCTCTGAAGGAGGGGGAGTGGTGCTGGGGCAGAGCCGGTTGAGAGCGGGCTTTGGAGTCAAACGGCCTGAGGCTGATCAGCTGTGTGGCTTCAGACAGTTACTCACCATCTCTGAGCTTTGGCTTCTTGGCTTGTTAACCAGGGAAGAGACTTCACAGACTGTCCCACTTTTCCTCAGAATGAACATTATTGCTTCCTGTATTACTTGTTTCTAAAGGGCAGGGCCACAGAAACACGCTGGGCCTTAACTTCTTATGGCCCTGGAGCTGCAGGCCGTGACCTCCAGGTGCTGCACCCCAACCCAGCTGCCACCTACCCTCTTCCTGAGGGTGCCGGGAAAGGCACCAGCTGCCCCCTAGCGGCTGAGGGCAAACGCACACTGATTCATCTAAAATGAACTCAGCTTGGTCCATCTTTACAGGGGGCGTGGCTCCCACAGGTTCTGTGGGGGAGGCACTACTAGTTCACCAGATTTTGGTGGTGACTGCCATTCTAGGAGCACGGGAGAGGGGTGTCTCCTCCACCTAGCCAGCTGACATTAGAAGGAGGGGATGTCTCAGGTCCTAAGTTCATTTCCAAGGCTTCAGGGCTTTGTGTACTGGTGGGTGCCTGTGGTAGCCGCGCTCTGTGCTGTGACTGAGGGAGACAGCCCCTGTCCCTACCCAGCAAGGACTACTCGGGAAAACTCCCTCCCTGAGCTACACAGCAAAATCATGGCCGTCTTATTTCCTTCAGCCCCGGAACTCACAGAGAGAGGGAGGGCGCAGTGGAAGGGCGAGAAGCAGAGTGCAGCAGCCCTACCTTCCCACAGGGCCGGAGGCTTTGTTTGTACAATCTCTGTTTATTTCCCCCACAGGCAGCTTTCCCACAAGTACACATGGAGAAGGAACAGTCAGCACACCTTGCTCAGCTCAGGATCCCCGAGAGGACAGCAGACAGGAACAGTTCCTAAGCAGCCACTGACGGCTGGACAGAACGGTGCATGGCTAGGAGCCACAGAGTTTGTGCGGGGCAGATGGAAGCCAGGCCCGGTCAGAGGTACCCACAAGAGCTCCAGGGTGAAGGGCCTCCGCATCAGTCTACCATCTCAGGAGATCCTACAACTGATGCCTGTCTGGCTCCATGAATGCCAGATGAGTCACGGAAGCAGCGCCTCCTAGAGCCCAGAAAGCGCTACCAGCAGGAGAGGTGTCCGGTCCTAGATACTCCAGCGAGGGGCTTCTTGGCAGAATTGCAGTGTAAGATCATCTCAGAGGCCCAGGGCTTGTTGGACAGGGTCAGCCATGGAGGCAGCTAAGTGCGCAGAGACCCCGGGTGCTCCGATACTGGTCTCCCAGCAATCAAACCCGCAGCCGTTTAGGGCCTGCTTGGCGGCCTCCACTTTGGCTCGCTCCAGACCTGGGGAGGTACGGCACTCAGCAGATGCTCCTGCCCCCCAGGGGTAAGGCCCTCCTGCTGTGTGGCTCTCCTGACTTCTGCGGCTACAAGCCATGTGCCAGGCCCCACATGCCCTCATGGGCTTTAATCACCTAGACCCAGCCTTGTCATGCTCATGTGGCTTCAGACTTAATCCCCACGTGGGCCTCAGTTTTGCTCCCCGGGACGGGACTGACATTGCTAACCCCGCCCCCACCTGTGCCTGGCCAGCACTGGTGTCCTGGGCATGCTCTTAAAGCATTGACTCAGTAGGCTTCATCCCTGAGCCTCCTAGAGGGAGGGCACTGCACTCCTTGAAGCCAGAAGTCACTCCTGAGATCAAGGGGCTTTGGAAACAAAAGTGGGATGTACAGAGTGATGGGACAGAGGGATGTAAGAGGAGGGCAAGCAAGAAGGCCAGGAGTGGGCGGAGGTGGGCGGTATCGCCTACTGGATGCCTGAGCAAGAATTCCTCACACTCTGGTGTGGTGTGGGGCTCCCTTCCCTCAAGCCTGTTCCTGGGTCTTTCCCCTCAGAGGCCGATGAGCACGGCCATTCATGATGAGCTTTCCTGGAGCAACAGTCCAGCAGCATTCCTGCTATTACCCTTGTTTTCCCAGAGGAAACAAAGGAACAGAGAGGTTAACTCAGTTGTCCAAGGCCACAGACCAGAGCTCAAGTCTCCCTTTCTAGGGAATTCTCCAGCCGACCTTCCACCACAGATCATGCTGGCAACCATCTCCCAACCCCCGTAGGCCCCATACCCGGCTTCAGGAGGGTGATGCCACAGCCGCCGCCGCCTGCGCCAGTTAGTTTGCTGTGTAGTCCGTATGTAGCTGTCACCTGGCAGAGCTGGTCCAGGGAGGCGTGGCCCACACCGAGGGCGTTCAGATGGTGCTGGTTCATGTCCATTAGCTCCTGGAAAAGGTTTCATGTGTTCCTGCCTGAGCCACCGAGGGAAGCCTCCTATCCCCTGGCAGGAGCTGATGTGGGCAGTCATGTTCTCTGTAGGCCAGTACTGAGCCTGCCCTTGTGACTATGTGGGATGGGTGGTCAAGCAGGCAGAGGGTTCTACTTGAATGGCTAAAACTAGTGGACTTCAGACATTGGCCACTGAACCTATCCACCTGCCATGTGGTCCGAGATCACAGGAAAGACTCCTAACCACACGGCTTCAATCCCTGGATCATGCTACGCTTGAAAGCGTTACCATTGGTCCCTTCCTTTGGGGCCCCTTCTTCCACTAAAGGCTAGTGGGGAAGGCTTTGCCATTTGCAGGAGAAATGTCTCCAACAATATGTCAGTCTACTGCTGCTTCCTGGGCTGGCTTTCAGAATAAGAACCAGGTTGTCACTCCAGCAAGGTCATGAGTGAGGAAATAGCTAAATATTGGTCTAGGTTTCTTCAACTATGTGCAATAAAACTGCTGCTTGCCAAGGACCAACAAGGCGCGTGTGGATAAATGCTGAAGGCAGCTGCTGTTTGCCTTTTATTGGATGCTGGGTACACACTGAGCATTGGAGAGAAGAGCCCACACAGTCTCTGCACTCCCTCCTGGGCCTCAGGCAGGCCGGGCAAGGTGAGGCTCTGCCTTTCCCAGCGCTTAGGCAGGGTCCTTTGCTAGAGCATTTCTCCCGTGAATACAGACAGTGTGAGGTCTGTCCTGTCCTAGCTGCTTGAAGGGAAGGACCTGTGCTTGGCAAACACTCTGTGGGCTACATTTTATCAACAAGGACACTGAAGGCCAGGGACAAAAAGCCTGTCTGGGGCCACCCATCTCTAAGGTATCCAGTCAGCGCCAGAAAAGCACTGCTGGAGCTTGAGGGCATCCTTGGCACTTCAGACGCCCTCTTGCTCTGGGGAACTGGTGTGGCTTGTGCTGTTCAAGGCTCTGCTCTGAGCTCAGAGCTCAGGATGCCTGTGTGCTGAGGGCTGCCCATCACTGAGACAGCTCTGCCAGGCCCTGCAAGGTGCTCTCTCTGGGGCCCACCCTGCTTGCCGGCATTCTGACAAATGAGCAGACAGGCAGCGTGGCCTGGTGGCAGCCCTGGGTGCCTTTCACAAGCCCGGGGCTGTGTACGGAGACTTCTGGGGCCTCTCGGTGTGCCTGAGCTCCAGGTGTCATGTTGTCAAGGCAGGTTCCAGACACCTGTCACATTCTGATCCAAAATCTGTCAAGGATCAGATGACAGGCTGTGACACCAGAGAACGGCTCGCTGGTTCACGTGCAGAGCTGTCCAAGAGCGGAGCTGTGCGCTCCAGCGGCTGCGGCAGCCAAAAATACCCACACTGTGTAATCAGCACACTACTCCCTGGCACTCCCGGGGCTTGGCGGGGCGCACTAGAGCACTTCTCTATCTTTATTACTTTCCTGCTCAAGGTGGCGACTCTGAATGTGGAAGGAACTGAGAGCTGGGAAGCAAGGCTTGGAGAATGCAGGAGGGTGCCTGGGAAATAAGGACAGAGGCTCCAGATTATATGGAGGCCTTGTGTCCAGTGCACAGTAGGTGCTCAGTAAAGATCTGAGCGATGCTGGGTGTGATGGTGCACACCCCAGGCAGGCCTACATAGTGAGTCCCAGGCCAGCCAGGGCTACATAGCTTGACACCATCTCGAAAAAGAAAAACAAGTAAGTAAAGCCAGTCAGTCATTAGTTTGGGTCCTGGCCAGCCCCTAGCTGGGTAATACAGGAGGAAGGCGGTCTTTTTGGACCTCAGCTTTCACACCTGTAAGAGGGAGACACAGGTGGTTGCAAGGTGTGAGAGTGACGAGTGACCTTGCCCTGAGCTTTGTTGGCTGCTGCACACTGGGATGCCGGGAGGGGCGGAGGCCATGGGACGGTACTAGAGGCCCCGCAGAGCAGCAGCGCACCAGGCCGTCTGGAAGGGACCCTGCCTGCACCTTCCTATGACTGTTGCTGCTCAGCTGCTTCAGCCTGGGGCTGCTGGGTCTCCTTGTGCTTCGGGGGAGGCCAGATGGCTTTTTACCAACAGCCCAATTTACCAGACCAGATGGCCCATGTCTGTCTGAGAGGGAGCCTTTGGCTCTCTGAGCTGGGGGCACATGGGCACTGGGAGCAGGAGACCCTGGAAGGGAACAAACCTGTGACACCCCAGGGAGGCCACCAGCAGGCAGCGAGGGAGAGAGAATTCAGATGCTCAAATGCTAATTGCTCATGTACTGTTCTAGAATCATGAGAATGGTGCTGGCCGCAGTCAGGGGACCACAGGACAACTTCAGGGCACCTGACCAGAGCAGCACAGTGGCACAGAGTGGGAACCAGGAGGGTAGGCATCTCCCCAGGACAGACAGGGAATGGGGGTTGACAAGACGAAGTGCCTGCCCACTCGGGCTATTCCTCAGTCTCGTGACCCATACCTGCCCATGCCACTGCCGCCAGGCCTCAGTATGCCAGGTTTCCAGGTAAGACACGCTTGCCTACATGGGCACACACATGCTCAGGGCCCAGGCCTGGGCAAGCTGAGGACGGAGGAGACACTACCTGAACAGCAGCGGGGTGGGTGAGGGGTTTCTGCAAGCAGGCTTACTTCCAGCACAAGGTAGTGGTCAGGACCCGGCGCTGCCACCATCTCTCCTAGCACGCGCTCACACTCCAGGGATATTGCGTCAATTGAGGTCAGGATTGGGGCCACGATCTCAGGGAACTGCGGGAGGTAAGACAGAGGAAGGCAGGCAGAACGTGAGGTCTAAGTATAGGGAAGGGCAGACCCTGCCATAGCAGGGACACACCATCTACACCAGCCCTCCGGGGATCTCCTCCGGTGTGGCCCTGACATCTGCAGGGCGATCCTTGCCACAAAGCCAGTGCGACTAAAGGGACGGGCCTGTTCCAAAATCCCCCATCCTGACTCTGGCCTGGCGGTGGCCGAGGTCAGCACCTTCCTTTCTGCCCATGCTGTCTCCTCAGATTTCCCTGCTACCCAATACACACAGCACCCCTCATCCAGCAGCACCTTGACTAGCCTGCTTCTGACGCCAGCCACAAGGGCCTTAGTGCTCCGTGGGACCTTGGTGTTGGTGAGGAGGATCTGCAGAGCCGGGAGCCTGAAGTGAGAGAGGAAGGCAGGCTGGAGGAGGCAGGTCTAGGACAGGAAGAGGAGAAAGGAGGTCCTCCAAGACTTCATCATCATTCGGTGTGAGGACTGAGGCAGGATAAAGACCATAAGGGCAGAGTCTGCAGCAGAGTGGCGTAGGCTGAGCCTAGAGGGGCAGGTCATGACCCCTCACTGGTCACATGTTCAAAGTGGCTAGGCCAGAGTACAGGAAAGGCCCAAGGTGGTTCTCAACCCTCAAGCTTAGATGGGATGATGGGGTGGGGGCAGAGATGAGAGACAAGCACCCTTCTGCAGAAAAGCCCCAGCTCTCAGGGTTCTGGGAATTTGGAACTATTTGCAGGGACATCAGTTGCTGACCATTCTTTATTTCTCCTGTTGGGCTTTGTGGGAGGGAGCGAGGAGGCTACTGAGGAGGCCAGCTGCCCAGGAGCTCATTCTACAGTGCCCAGAGCAGCAATCTAGGCAATCCCTGCTATAAGGAGCCAAAGCCACACCTCCAGCCCCACCCTTGGAGAACTGTACACTCCTGACTGTCCTTGAGCCGAGTGGCCTCTGGAGGAACCAGCTGCTCTTCCTGGTCATCCATTATGCTTTTCAGAGAGCTGTGGGCTGGGAAGGAAGCAGAGAACCTGGAGGTGGCCCTGCAAGATGCCCTCTTTATAGTTCAAGACTGTAAGACCCCACAGAGGTGAAGAGGCTGCTGGAGGCTCACTGTCTCATGGCCCAAAAGCCCAGGAAAGGGGCATCAGTCCCTGGAGGATAGCACTTGTCTCTCTTAAAGACTGTCCGTCACTCAAAAAGACTGCATTCAGGGAAGGTGGACCTAAGCCACACCACCAAGGTGCTTTGAGCAGGATGGTGCCATGCATGAAGGTGGGACTGGCTTCAGGGTTGGGTAGCTTGGGCAGCACGTCTTCATCCTCGGGTGCATTCTCTGCTAAAGGTTTACTGCCAGCCCACGAAGCCCATCAGGGGCCACCACTCCAGGCTCTGCTCTGGAAGAGCTTCTGTCATCTGTCCTCCCGACTCCATCTTATCCCATCTCCCCTCTTCCCCACTGCACGTGTCAGTTACCCTGGCCTTGCTGCCGTTCTATACCAGCCTCAGGACCTTTGCACTTGCATGCATTCTCCTGGAGGCTGCTCCTTCCTCACAGCTGCGTAACTCCTGTTCGTTCTGGCCTCTGCTCTGGTGCTATCTCATCAAAGGCCCTTGGGAACCCCATCTGGTCAGCTTTCACCCAGGCACAGTTTTGGCCATCACAGCTGAGGCACGCTGTGGGCATCTACCCAAGCAGGCTGCTGATCACCCCGTGACAACCACCATGGGTGAAGACGGCAAGAGAGTGCTAGTGGCCCTCCCTGACACACCCCGCACACGGCCAAACGGGCTCCTACTTGCCACAGTTTAATCTGAAATCCCACCTTTCAGCTAATGGCAAAGACACTGGCTGGCAAGCTTCAGTCTGTATGGCTGACCAGGTGGGGCACAGGCTTGCAAAGCAGCCCATGAGCTGCCAAGCCGGAGCCTTGCCCGAGCCTCCCACTGACGGCTCCAGCCCGCCTAAGCCTTGCTGGCCTCTTTGTCATCTGTTGGCTTCCAGACTTATCTGTCCAACCTCATGCCCAGCAAGAGCTCCCGGAAACAGCCCAAGAGGTATGTCTATGTCCCTGGGCCCACAGATGTGTCATTAGGAAAAGCAAGGAAGTGCCTAATGTTTACTGAGTGAATGGACAGACAGGCAGCCACAGTCTGCTGACCAGCTGTGCTTCGAGGGGAAGGGGTAGTCACGTGTAACTTCCACCTTTAACCACAATGAAGAGAGAGACAATAGTCAGGCCGGCTTCACTGTGCCCAGGCCTCACCCTGTGGTACAGCAGGAAGGGGACAGAAGGACACCTGGCCCTCACAACCTCACAAAGGCACAGTGCTCTCCCTGTCTGTGTGGGGCAGCTGGGCTAGGCACGGCAACAATGCCTGAATTACCTCTTCAAGGACGACATCTTCCCTTGCTGGTAGCGCAGGGCTCCTCCTAAAAAGAGGAACAGCGGCTATCACCAAGGGTTAAGGCTCAGATGTGCATTCCAGGACAGTGTGAGGTCAGTGTGGCCCCAAGACATGCCAGGTTGAAAGACATGCCCATCCATTCCAGCTTCAGCTGTGGAAGACCCAAAAGGTATCAAAGTCTGTGGACCTTGGCCTTCTGAGCGGCCTGGTGTCCTCAATCTTTGCCCATGTGGCGGGGCTAAGGCCCAGGGCTTAGTGGCTGGGCCTGCCAGTGAGTGTTCTGTCAGGATGGAAGGCTGCTTGGGCGGTTTGCCAACTCCACAGCAGCAGAGTTTCCTGTTTTCCAGGGCCTGAGCCCACCCCGCAGAGAGCCGGAGCCTGAGATCGTCCCCTTGCCTGGAACAGGAACGAGCTCTTTTCCTCAGATGCCACTAGCTGAACCCATCCCACGCCGAGAGAGCCAGGGCAACTACCAACGTAAGGAGACTCCCAGGAAGGATGAGGACACAAGCACACCTACCCCAGGTGCTGACAGCATTGTCCACGCCAGAGGGGTTCCCGTGGATCACTCTCTCCCCCTTGTAGGCCCACTTGTTAATCAACTCCAGATCCTCCTCGGGCCACCTGGCACAGAGAGTTAGGGGCTGGGGTCACCTTGGACAGCAGGAGGAAGCAGCCGTGGGTGGCATATGATGCTAGCACAGGACTACCCGGAGCCCAGGGACTGATGGGGATTCAGAACAGAAGAGTCTACCCTCGAAGCTCAAGAGGACACTGAGCCTTGCTTTTCCTTCCCCAAAACCATGCAACAGCACGGTACGAGTGGCCTGGGCTTCAGCTTCCCATTGGCCTAGGCCTCAGGGGTTGGTACTCTCACTAGCTGGGTGACTCTGAGCCCCACTCTCCTCAGAGACAGAATGCTTAACTTCACTCTCTCCCTGGCCTGGTCACGTGTGACGGGAGGTAGGCCTTGTATCTACATGGGACTTGTGGTGACCACCTCTGCTCAAGTGCCGGCTCTTAAACCAGGTCTGTCTCGGAAGGACAAGCACAGGCGAGCCTACCACTTCCCGTGTGACCACTGGAGCTGGAGGTGTGGCTCAGCAGCAGAGCCGGTGTGAGGGGGGGCTGGTGTCCATGGTGGCACGCTCCTGCAACTGTGCGCTTGGGAGACTGGGGCAGCAACGGCGATAGTGTCACACACCGAGATGCTGCCTCAGAACAAACAAACACCCCACCACTGTGAATCCCTGGTGGGCACCAGTCACCTCTGCATTTCCTTAAAGCAGAGGAGCGTCCTGCGGACGGGGTGGGCTCGGCGCCGGCATGTGGCCAGGTTAACACTAGTGGAGAACTCGGAAGAGCAGCCAGCCTGCTCCCGCTCCTCAGTCTGGCTCCTTCCTGCAGATCCCCTCCCCTTGCAGAGCTGTGCGGGGTGCTGTGGGCCGGTTGGACCCCACCTGCTACTCTAGTCCTCCTGTCAAGCTAGACCTCCACCTCTCTCATGTGCGAAGCCAGAGGCAACAGCATGCTGTGAGACGGACGAACACACCACTGCTGTGCAATGCCTGGGGACAGTGGCCTAAGATAGGCCCCAGGGACCACAGCTCATGAGAGTGCGCAAACCTGGCCCAACCTCTCGCTGAAGCAGCTGACGCCTCTGGGTCTTTTCTCATATGCCCTGTGAAGATTTCACAGGTCTGCAACTCACACAGTAGGAGGGGCTTTGATTAAAGACAGCTGGCCATGTGTGATGCTGCACAGCTGATGCCCCAGCAGAGAGAAGGCTGATGCAGGAGGATTGTGAGTTAGAGACCAACCTGGGCTACACAGCAAGATACTGTCATAAAAAAAAAAAAAAAAAAAAAAAAAAAGCAAAGAGGAGAAGGCTCAAGTGAAGAGAGAACTTGGTGTACAAGGAAGAGGATCTGAGCCGACCCCGGGTCTCATGTAACTTGGGAGGGGTGACACACACTTGTAGTAGCAGCAGCTCTGCGGTGAGATGGGAACAGAACACGAGACTATCTAGAAGTTCACACACCAGCAAGACTATTGCACCCAGTGGCAAACAAGATCCCTGTTTCTCAAGGTAAAGGCCAGGACCCACACCAAGATTACCTTACACGCACACACACACTACAGAGAGAGACAGACAGACACAGAGAGAGAGAAACACGGAGAGACAAAAATATCCTATGGGAAAGGCAGGGCTACCCCCTTTCACACAGAGGGGAAACTGAGGTTCGGATGGGTACAGCAGTGTTCCAGGCTGCAGTGCTCCACCACAGGCAGGACAGCAAGCAGGACAAAGACAGTCCTTACCTGCCGGTGGAGTCCCTGTCCTTGAGGGGGTTGATGACTTCCTCACAGCTGGTCAAGAGGGCGGCTGCCAAACACACCGAGTAGGCGGCGCTGGAGCCCAGGCCTGCTCCAGGCGGCAGTTCCGACCACACCACGATGTCCAGGCTCGGGAGCGTCCTGAAACACACCAGGCACAAAGCATGGCTCCTGTGAAGGGTGTGAGGGTCCAATGGGAACCCCGGGCCAGGAATGGACATTGGGGGAGGGGCTGACTGAGCATCTGGACCTGTCATGCGGACACATCCCCACTGGATGTCAGCTAGGTGAGCCAGATGACCAGGAAACAGGTACGTGGCTTAAATCACTGCAAACGACAAAGCCCTCCTTGGAACCCCTTCCTACTCCACATAGCTGGGCTGCCTCCTGGCCTGGCTCTTAGCACAAGCTGTCCATCTGTCTGGCACAGCCTTGCATCATCTTATCTCCCACCATCTTTCTAGAGTTCACCCAGTGCTTCAACTGGACACTTTCCACCTGCAAGGCCTGTTCCTGGGCTTTAAGGGACCCACGTGCAATCTGCCTCCACAGCTTCTCCTCACAGCACCCAGTGTGTCCCAGGAGGCCTCTCCCACTGGACACCACCCTTGCGGACTAGGTCTACTGCAGGTCAGTTAAAAGAGAAGACACACCACCATAGAGGCCTCCCTGAGCAAGGCCTGACAAGGTTCCGCAATGTCTGATTCCTACATATCTAACGCTGAGCATGACTTTCAAGCACACGTGCCCACGCTGGGCAGATGGGAGTCTCTGCCCTGACCCACTGAAGCGAAGTGTGCTACCCAAGCTCAATATCCCCAAGTCAGGTACAGGCCACTGAAGAGCTGTCCTCAGCACGGGGCCTGGGGTGTATAGGGAGACACCTGCTGCTCGGAATGCCTTTTACTTTGCATAAAAAATACCACTGGTGACAGGCATGGTGACACACTCCTTTAACCCCAGCACTCCAGAAGCAGAGGCAGGCACAGCTCTGTGAGTTTCAGGCTAGCTAGGTCTCACAGTGAGTTCTAGACCAGCCCAGACTACGTGTTTCAAAACAACAACAAAAAACCCAAACAACTATATACAGCATGCCTGTCATGGCCATGGTTCCCATCTTAAATATATTCCTAATCCTTATTATGTTATCACTTAATGAATTTACTGTGCTGGCAATGCATGCATTTCAAATGGGAAAGCTGAGCCTCACAGGGAGCAAGTGCCACAAATGAGGGCAAGCAGGCTGCCACCAGTGTCTGGTGCTCACGCCAACACGGTCTCAGCAGTACTGTCATGCTCTAGGCACCAGCTCTCCAGGTCTCTCTTTAAAGGGGCACATGTGAGCAGGCTTCACTCTGCTGACTGTAGCAGCAAGAGGATGCAGGCGCGTGCCTTCCAGCCACACCACAAAGAGGTGCCCCAAGGAACTGCAACAAAGCCTTTGTGCCCCTGAACTAAAGCGGCGGTGGACGTGGTACAGTCAACATGCCACTGTTCCTGAGCTGTTCTACCTCGCTACAGCACTACAGCCTGACCAGCTAACCATTCTTCAGAGTCTCTATCTCCGGAGCCTCTGTTTCCCCAGGAGTAAACAGGTGGAGCCTGTCTCCCAGGCTACTGCCGTCGTACCAAGAGGACAGCCTATGTCCCTAGAGGCACAGGGATACTCCAGAACACTCCCCAGGGAAGGCCGGGTGGATGCTTACAGACTATGTACACACCTCTGCTTCTGGCAGATTGCCAGGTACAGGTAGAGAAAGGCAAGCACGGCCAGGCCCTCATTGCCTACACAGTCCTCGGGGAGGCCCACCTCCTTCTTCAGCTTCTCCAGTTGCTCTGGGGTGGGCGCTGGGACATCACCTTGCTCTGTCAATAGGCAAACACACAGGTGGGTGAGAGGCCTGCTGGAGAGGTTATAAGCCACAGAACACACTGGGACCAGCATGGGGGGAAAGCAGGGTCCCAACACTCCAGTCTTGTGGGCCCATCACTTGCAGCCTCGGGGGCAGGCAGCCTTGGGTATGGGGCTTGACTGTGCCACTCACTGCGTACACAGTCCTTGGCCAGTGGCATAACAACAGCACCTCTGCAGGAGGGTGTGGTATAAAAGCCCAGGCGTGCCCGGCCCAGACCAAATGCTTGACTCACAGTCTGAACACGTGCTGCACACAAAAGCTACCTTTCAGCCTTCCAAACCAAATGAAGTGAAATGAAATTAATCCCAGGTATTTTTCTCTCTCAAAGAGGAAAGGACTGGGGATGTGGCTCAGCTGTAAGGCCCTGGAGGGGCTAGCACGGGCCAGGTCCCACCTGGGCCGCCTCTGTGATGCTCAGGAGGCTGAGCAAGTCTGACCAGCTCCCTTTATAATCATTCCCAGCCTCGGGTTAGCAGGTGGGACAGAGCAGGGTGTGGCTGTTGGAAAAGTTCAAGGCACTCACTAAGAGTTCAGGGGCCGTGTGCTGAACACAGTGATGATACATTCTAGAGGGCTAAACCAAGGGGTCAAGGAGACCTCAACATTGCAGAGCTCTGGGATGGACATGGACCATCCTGGAGTTTGGAGACCTGGACCCTTTCTGTATCCATACTGCTGGTGTAACCTTTAGCTTTAACCATCACAGCCATAAAATGGAGATGAATGATATAACCTACATTGGGGACCACTGATGAGAGACCACACTTGAGTCACAGCCCGGCACACGAGCCAGTACCTGGTCACTTTGCCTGTTACTGTGTGGAGGGAGCACCAGAACCCAAAAGATAGAAACCAGTCTACAGGGGACCCCTTTACTTTCCTACTAAAGCCGACTTACAGCCCTGGCACCCATCTCTCACCCTGCTGGGACCCCACAGCAACCCTCAGCAAGGTCACATGGCCCTGGGTCTGGCAGGAGTAGAGACTTGTTGGGACTTGCCAACAGGCTGTGTGTTCTTGGCTGGAAGCTACCATGCCTAGATGTTGCCGCTTCAGAAACTGACTTGGAAACTTAGAAAAGCAGTGGCTGGTCCTCATGGAACATTCTGCCCTAACCAGTACCTGGTGCCATGGAAAGCAGGTCCCAAAGGCTCTGAGATGCAGGGAGATCTCAGGAGTCACCTGGGGAACTTCTTACAAAATCTAATCATTCCTAACACCTCTACCAATCCTCCATAGGAGAGGAGCAGGGCCGGGAACCCACGAACACCAGGAAACCGAACAAAGACCTCCCATTCCCCAGTCAATTCTAAGGCACAGCAGGTAGAAAAGAGCCACTCTAGGCAGACACAGCCCCTTCCTTTCCTTCTACCAGGGATCAAGCCTAGCTCTCTACTGCTGAGCCACACCCCAAACCCAAGCTTTCACTACCGTTCCATCTCTGGTGGCAGATGGAGGGGCTTGGATGCAGGCTGGAAGCAGTCCCTGGAGCCCTCTCGATTGCTGTGGGCTTGCTGAGAAATACATGAGCCAGAGAAGAGGAAGCAGGCTGGGATCAGAGCAGGCAATGGGGCAAGTGCCACCCTGCTGAGTGAAGGGAGCTGGCCTGGATGGCTGTAACCACCTCTCTTCCCATGCCAGCAGCAGCAGCAGCAGCAGTGGCGGCGGTGGCGGCGGCAGCAGCAGCAGCAGCAGCAGCGGCAGCGTAGGGGCCTGGGCTAAGCCAAGGGAAGAGTGTTGACACCCCCAAAAGAAAAGCACCCGTGTCCCTAGGATGTTGATACAGCCCGACCCTGTTTCAGAGACAAGGACTTTCCCTCTCAGTCACTCTAGGTCCCCATTTCCTGCAGTCTGTCCTGGAGGGCTGGTGCCAGAATGCCCAGGTTGCTGCTGAGGAAGCTGGAGATGTCCATCGCCTCCTGTTTGCTCCTCACTGGCGTCTGAGCCTGGCAACTGCCATCTGGGGAGTTCAGCTGCAAAGAAGCAACTGCTGCAGCTGGGTTTGCTGACTGCCTGACCCTCACGGTCAGGTGACCACCCAGCTGCTCCTTACCACCTATTGCGTGCAACTCTGCCTTAACTGCACTCGGCCTTGGGGAGGGGCTATGGTACACAGGCTGGGGAAGACTAGGGGTGGTGGGCTCTGTATGGGACAGGCATCATTCCTGCTGGATAAAGAACTTCTGGTGAGGCCTTTACGTGGGGGCGCCCACACTCCAAGAAGCAACCCCTGACTTATGCTCTGTACAGAAGCCCAATAAACTCCTTGGCTGCCCAGGGTGAACTTTGGTGGAATTGTGCCATGGTTTGTCGCTGGGACCTCAGCAGGAGGGGCAGTTCTTGTGTTTCCCCTGGGAAGCGATTTTAGCCATGCTTCATTGGTGTTGATTGGAGTCGCTGTAATAAACAGTTGCTACACATACATTCCACCACTGACCTACCCCAGCCCTATGCTCAATAACAAATTACACAAAAACAGCAGTGGCTTCGCTCACACTGAAGGCAGAACCCAAGGGTTTCTCGGTCTACTTCCTGCCATGTTATCGTCCCCGGGAACCAATTACCAATGTCAGGGTAATTGTATCTCTTCCTGAAGACTTCCCTGCACGTTTACTCTCTGGCTTATGTAAGTACCCACACCGTTTCATACCCATGACAGCTAATCCTTTTGTCCTCCTCTATCTTATTTGGTTTGATGCAGTCTCATGTAGCCCAGGCTGGCCTTGAACTTACCATCCAGCTGAAGCTGTTCTGGTATTCCTGATCCTCTGGCCTCCACCTCCCACGTACTGGGAGTGCATTAGTGAACATCAAGAGGACTTAGAATCAGCTAGGAAACAACTCTGGGCACGTCTCTGATGGTGCTTCTAGAGAACACTGTTTAACTGTGGTAGGAGGACCCACTCTGAATGTGTGTGGCACCTTCCTAGGGGCCAGGGGTCTAGACCTGGTGACAGGAAGAAACAGGTGTACACCGGCATCCATCTTTTCTGCTTCCTGACTACAGAGGCAATGGCTCCACAGCGACAACAGCGACCAGATGCTTCACTCCTGCCATGAGCAGGGTGGACTGTGCTCAAACCGAGAGCCAACATACAGCCTTCCTAAAGCTGCTTTTGTCATAGCAACGAGAAGGTGACTAATCCAACAGCTGAGCATCTTTACAATGAGCCTCAGTGATCTGCCCACCACAGTGCAGAGATCCTGGGCACAGTTTTACACACCGAAAACAAACTTGCTGGGTGTGGTGGCGCACACCTTTAGCCCTAGCACTTGAGGGGAAGACGCCGGCAAATCTCTGTGAGTTCCAAGACAGTGAGGTCTACACAGTGAGACTCTATCACAAACAAACAAAATTAAATCATATACTAAATGAATGAAACCAATTTTCTGGGGTCAGAAGAGAACAGCTATCCTCTGGCCCCCTCACAGACAGCCTGAAATAATTACCCTGTCACCGCCTCCCCACTTCCTTCAGGCTTTTAGCACATCTGGCTCACCCTCTTTATACTAACCAAGAAAGCTTGTGTCCAGCAGCTGAAGCCTGGCCACATCCCAGACCTGCTTAATACCGAGGTTTGGTAAATTGAGGCTCACTTTCCCATTGCTCTGTGGTCGAAGCAGGAGAAATGTTCTCAAGTTCAAGGCCACTGCCAGCGCAACCTGTAGAATAAAGGGTAAAAACAGTAAGCCCGGGGGTGAGTGGCTCAGGAACTAGCGTCCATATGTTTCGGAGGTGGAGACAAGAGGATCCCTGGGGTTCACTGGCCATCAAGCCTAGTCTATTCCAGCAAGCTCTGAGGCCTACTACAGTCAAAGACAATGAGAAGCCTTGCCTCAAAACCTGAGGCAGACAGTCCCTCCTGAGGTTGTCTCCTAGGTCCCGCCCACAAACCATAAAGAATGACAGTTGGGGGGCTGGAGAGATGGCTCAGAGGTTAAGAGCTCTGACTGTCCTTCCAAAGGCTCTGAGTTCAATTCCCAGCAACCACAGAGTGGCTCACAACCATCTATAATGAGACATGATGCCCTCTTCTGGTGTGCAGGCAGAATACTATATAAATAATAAATAATTTTTTTTTTTTTTTTAATGACAGTTGGAGTGAATAAGAAAAAAAAAAAAGCCTTAGGCTCAGACCCACTCAGGCTCCCTCTCAGTGCTATGACGGTGCAATGTGCTTGGTCAAGTCACCAATTCTCTCCTAAGCCGCATCTTCCCTACCTGTGAAATAGAAGACCACAAACTGGACCCCTGGGTTAGGTCTGAGGGTTAGATGAGATAATCCATGTGTCCAACACCTCCACCAAGCCATCTTTCCATTTCCTCGACATTGGAATGCCCCAGAGTCCAGACCTCCAAGCTCTTTCCCCTCCACCAACACTCAACTGCTAAGTGATTCCACCCAACCCGTAGGGTTTTCCAGACATCATTTTGCTGTTGTACTGGATTGGGCCAGAAGTCCTTTCTCAGCTTAAGCTTTGGCTGAAGAGATTCATCCTGTCTACCCCTCAGGCCTTTCTTTTGCCTTCTTCAGATTCAGTGTTAGAGAGGCGTGGTACCCGATTCTTCATGGCTCAGGGTGGGGGTCTTTTACCTTGCCATGTACCACAGCATGTTCTCCATGGAGGATGACTTTCCCTGGAGCGGATACCAGCAGGACCTCTGACAACATGACTCTTGAGACTCCTCAAAGGAAAAAGCAGAGAGAAAAATAAAGGTTCCCAGATGTTAGTTGGGAACATCAGAAAGGCTGGGCTTGGTGGCACATGCTTTTAATCCCAGCACTTGGGAGGTAGAGGCAGGTGGATGTCTGTGGGTCTGACATCAGCCTGGTCTGCAGAGTAACAGGCAGGCCCATGTAGAGAAGCTCCGTCTCAAAGAGGGGCGGGAGAGGAAGCATCTGTCCCTAGAGAAGGACAGCTGCAGCATATAACAGCAGGACATGTACCTCCAGCACTATGTACAGTGTGCCATTTGGACAATAAAAAATACAGGGGTTCAGACCCCAGCCCTTCCACTCCCCAGCGACGTCATCTTACGTCAACTACCATGACTCTGTTTCCCACACATCAGATAGTGGCGACACAGGAGAGCGAGTCAAAGGAGTAGAAGCAGCAGGGTCTGTCTGTCTGACAAAGTAGACAGCAGCTTCTTGACTACTGATACCTACTCAGCACCGGCCCGTTTCAGTCCAGCGTTTATGAGTACCACTACTGACGGTAAAAAAAACTGACATGGACACCGACTGCGAGGCCCAGTAGTGGTCTGCTTATCTACCACGAGGAAGGCCATGTGTTTGACGGTGTGGAAAAGCGACATAAAATCTTGGAGAAGAAAGAACTCTTTCAGAACATGGGGACCGCAACCAACCTGTCGCAATTATAAACCAGGCTGCAGGAAAACACCCGTTACGCCTCGTGCTGCCCATTTAAACAAGGAAGGGTCTCACCAAGCGTTTCTGCTGGACATACGAGTGCATGCATTTTACACTGTTATAAATAATGCAAAAACCACCCGGGTTCAAGGCTTCTCGCGAACTCTCTCACGCTAACCATCCCACTGCAGACCCCCGTCTCAGGAAACTGTCCGATCTGATGTCGCCGACCGCTCAGATCGAGGAAACTAAGGCAGAGGACTGGGGTGCCTGGCCTGGGGTGTCCGGGACCCCGTCCTCTCGCAGCCCAGCCCTACACCCAGGCCTCTCACCTGCCACGGCCAGCGCCCAACTGTGCCGAAACCCCAGCTGCAGCTCCGGCTCTTCTCCATCCCGGAGGGTAGAACCCCACGGAAGCGGGCGCGTCTTGCCTCTGACCAATCAGAGAGCTGGAGCCGAGGTTCCCTTTACGGATTGGTTACGATATGGACCAATGGGAATTTCAAACAAGCAGGGATTTCCCCGCCTCTTTCTAGTCGTAGTCCAATGGAAAACAGGTTCCAGGGAGTGCCCCGCCCTGGTGCGAGTGCCACAGGCCAATAGGAAACGGCGATTGAGAGGTGGTGCGGCCGGCTGCGGGGCGGAGTCAGCCCCGGGTCTGGACGGGTGCCTGGCCGGGTCATCCCTCGCCGCGTTATCACACGCATGGCTGTGTGGGTGTTTGGGGGCCGCTTTGGCCTGCGCGGGCGTCTCGGCGCCTGCAGGCTGCTGTGTCCCCGCTTCCAGAGCCACGGTCCTCAGGGCGGGGAAGACGGGGACAGGTGAGTTTCAAGCTGGGAGGGTAACTCCAACCCCTGAGGAATTGTTGTGTTCGTGGGTACGTCACACTGATGACGTGCTCTTTGTGGCCTGATGTCACCGGGGACAGCATGGCGTCAGAAGCCAGTATTTCTTGGTTCAGATTCTAACGCAGTCTAGCTGGGCTCATGTCCGAGTGGATTTTTCCAGCCTCCAAAGCGGTTTGTTGGGATTAGGATTCAGACAACCAGGCACCATCAAAGGAAGACATCGTAACACAGAAATTTGCACCCGGAGACTTCCAGGAGCTTAGAACATGCAGACTTCTATTAACTTATTTTAATCAGCGTTTCCGGTCGAGTCTTCTGACTTTTGAATAACCTTGTGAAGTCACATTTTAACTTTAAGCTATATATTTTAAGTTATGCACTGTTATTTGAACATGGCATTCTTTTGAGAAGGGCAAGCAAGGACAGGTGATGTTGCGCACTGGTGGAATGTTGGCCTAGCACGTCCAAAGGCCGAGGTTCAATCACAGGCCTCAAAGAAAAAAAATTAAAAAGTGAAAATACCATTTTTCAAGTTCCATTTTGGCAGTGTTTTTGTTTTGTTTTGTTTTTGCCACATTTGAAACCTTAGAAAATGCAAGTGGCCCAGTTTTCTCTCCCCAAGAAGTCCTAATTTTGTAATTGAGGGCAGAGTTAGGGAGGGGCAAGAGCTTGGAGAGGGTAGTAGTCCCAAGCAGGCTTATGGCGTGAATCCCAGCCCTGCCTCTTCCTGAAGATCTAGGAAGGTGAATCTTTCTTGGCTACAGTTTCCTCATGGAGAAGGGACGGTAATACTCAGGGGCTAACTTTGGGAGTATGGAAAACGCTAAAGGATAATCCCAGTGGCTTTAGTCCACTGTGCGGCCTGGGCTATATGGAGTGATCGGTTAGTTCTTCCAGCAAGTATTTGTCAAGCGTCTCCATTGAGCTGTGCACCACAGCAGCTACTATACGGGTAGAGACACGGACAAGAAGCTGAGTTTGTTCACCTGGGACTTGGTTAAGAAGGGATTGCAAGGGAAATGGTGGACAAGAGAGCACCACCCGGAACTGGGACAAATGCTGCCACTGAGGTTGCAGGCAGCACTCTGGGCCTCACTTACCGAGGGGCACCCTGTAAGCTGCCCCAACTTACTATGTCTTGACATCTGATGTCTGTTTCTCACTAGGCTACAGTCATCCTCGAAGGCACCTAAGACCCCCAAGATTTACACCAAGACAGGAGACAAAGGTAGGGTGGGGACGTGAGAAACGCAATAAAACACACAGCAGGCATCGTTTTAAAGTTCTTCTGGCCTCGTGGTAGCCGTGGGGCAGATCTGGATATGCATCGTAAATGTGAAGCGATGTGAAAATGCACAAACTGTTATTGAGTGTCAAAACGAGTTGTAAAGAAACTGGGCACAGTGCACACTTGTGGTCCCGGCACTCAGGAGGCGGAGGTAGGAGAGTCACGAGTTCAAGGCCAGCTAGGGTGACATATCAAGCAGGCCTAGGCAACAATGAAAGCCTATCATGAAGAAAAGGAAATATGAGTGGTAGAGTTTGAAGAGATAGAGTGCTTGGCTAGTGCTCTGGAGACCCTAGGTTCAAATCCAGACCTAAATACATAAACAAACAACTGTGGCACAATCTAAGAACTCAAGTCCTGGGTGAGAGAGATGAGGATGCAGGGGTTAGGAGCCTCTGCTGCTCTTTAGAGGACTCAACTTTGGTTTCTAGTACCCACACTGGGTGGCTCACAGCTCTAGAGGGATCCACTTCCTCTGGCCTCTGGGCACCTGTTCTGATGTACACATGCATGCGCACACTCACACACAGTTATAATTAATTATTTAAGCCAGGCTTTCTCTGTGTAGTCCTGGCTGTCCTGGAACTCACTCTGTAGACCAGGCTGGTTTCAAACTCAGAGATGTGCTTACCTCTGCTTTCCGTGTGCTGGCATTAAAGGTTGAGTGCTACTACCATCTGGCCTAAATTTAAAAAGAACTTTTAGAGTGTAAGGTGGGCATGATGGCACAGACGTGTAATCCTGGTACTCTGAGGGTTGAGGCAGGAGGATCACTGTGAGTTTAAGACCAGTCTGGGCTATATAGTGAGAGCTTGTCTCAAAAGAAAAGGAAAAAAAAAAAAAGTGTGTTCAGATATATCTGAGAGGTTATCTTTTTGGCTTTGGGGTTTTTGGAGTTTTTTTTTGCAATTTATTTAGTGTGTCTATGTTATGTGTGCCTATATCACAATGCATTTGAGGTCAGAGATCACTTAACTTGCAGAAGTTGGTTCTTTCCTTCCACCATGTGGTTCCCAGGGCTTGAACTTGGATTATTAGGCTTGGCAGCAAGTGCCTTTACCAGCTAAGCCATCTTGCCAGTCCTGAAAGATTTTATCTTTGGCTAGTAGCCAGGAGAGATATTGAGTTGTGGGAGAAAGAAATATACAAAAGTTCACATACTTTTTTTTTTTCTATTGTTTCTTTCATAATGAACATTTATTGCTTCAGTATTTTAATGAATACCAGATGTAATGTAACGGGGAGATAGAGCATGTCCTGAAATTTAAGACCATGCAGGTCATTCATAGCGACTGTGTTTGGGGTCTATTCTCTCATACTGAAGTATTCACACGTGCAGGATATAGGTCCCACCACTGAGCTGTGTGCAAACAAGAGGTCAGAACGTAAGTGTTCTGTCGTGTGTATGCTACTGCAATGATAAGAAAGGAGACGTGGAGGAGTGACTGATGGCAGCACTCTATACCGGAGAGGTCCAGGGACAGCTTCTGGTCAGTCACAGAGGGGCCCCTTGGCTCACTGTGGCCCAGCAGCAGAACGTTGGAGTAACTGCTGGACAGGACTCTTTGTAGGGTGAGGCTTATGCTGGGTGGCACAGCCGCAGAGTCAAAGCAGCGGAGCTTTGTTCTCAATCTGGTGTGGTCAGGAAGCAGCAATACTTCTGTAACTGAAGAGACATAGTGATTTTTTCATAGACAGTGGGAGAGACAGGGAGGTGCTGGGACTGTGACAAAGATGTATTGTTCATTCTCATTAGTCAGGAGAGCTGATCCTGGTTGGGATTTTATGGTGGTGGGTGGGGGTTGGTTGTTTGTTTTCTCAAGCTAGGGTTTCTCTGTGTAGTCCTGACTGCCCTGGAACTCACTCTGTAGACCAGACTGGCCTCAAAAACCTGGAGATCCTGCAGCCTCTGTCTTCTGAGTGCTGGAATCAAAGGCGTGTTCCACCACTGCCAGGCTGCCTGGTCGTTTTTGTGTCTTTTGCTCAGACAGTTACTTTGACTTGTTGAGGCTGGTTTGTCACAGCCACAGTGTGGACATCTGATGGTGCTCTGTGGAGTCGTTTGTATGTAACAGCAGTGCAGCAGGCTCTCTGAGTGGCCACCAGCACTGAAGCCAGGCCGATGGTGCCAGGAAGGAGCTGTGACCCAGGCTGAGATCCAGAAGACTTAAGCTACAGAGAGAGCGTGTGATACCCCAGGTGCCTTATTCTTGACCAGAGGCTTCATTCAAGCATGCTAGGGAAGAAGAGGAGACACTTGGTGTCTCTTGGTCACCCTTGGTGGTACTGACCAAAAGGACACTTCATGAATATAGTCATAGACACACATGTAGATAAGATACTCACATACATGAGATAAAAATAAATAAATAAATCAGGGCTGGAGAGATGGCTCAGAGTTTAAGAGCCCTGACTGCTCTTCCAAAGGTCCTGAGTTCAATTCCCAGCACCCACGTGGTGGCTCATAACCATCTGAGATAGAATTGGTGCCTTCTTCAGGAGTGCAGGTAGACTGCAGGTAGAACACTGTATACACAATAAATAAATACATAAATTAAAAAAAAAAAAAACGTAACAAATAAATAAATAAATAAATAAATAAATAAATAAATAGATAAATAAATAAATGAATAACTATTTTAAGGTGTGCCATGAAAGAATCTGTTTTCTTATAAGATGTATTTTATTTGATGTGTATAAGTGTTTGCCTACATAGACGCATATGTGCCACACATATGCCTGCTGCCTGTGGAGGCCAGAAGGTGGCGACAGATTCCTGACTGAGAGTTGTGGATGCTTGTGAGTCACTATGTTGGTGCTGGGATCTGAATCTAGGTCCTCTGCAAGAGCAGTAAGTGCGCTTAAACCACTCAGCCATCCCTCTAGCTTCTGTTCCTCCCTTCCTCCTAGAAAAAAAAACCAAAACAACACAAATCCTAATGTGCTAAATATCTTTCCCCAGGGTTTTCTAGCACCTTCACAGGAGAAAGGAGACCTAAAGATGACCAAGTGTTTGAAGCTGTGGGAACCACAGATGAATTAAGCTCTGCTATTGGGTAAGGGGGCAAGGATGGGCCTCAATGTAGCTAGCATTGGGCATTGGTGGCCGACCCGCATGATGTTCTCCTGAGCACCAGAGGGTCCTGGAGATTGCCCTGGGTGTGTGTGTGTGTGAGATGTTAGGATAGACTGGTCTGCTCCATGTGGCTACAGGCTGTAGGCCAGTCCCTCTGTCTGCAGCTGAGCAACCTTCCTCTCACTGTCTC